ATCATCATCATGTATCATCATGTATCATCATCATGTATCATCATCATGTATCATCACCATGTATCATCATCATGTATCATCACCATTCATATCATCACCAGTCATATCATCACCATAATATATCATCATCATCATGGATCTTCTTCATCATAGCCATTTCCATTACCATAATCATATTCAGCATTATCATTTTCTATTTCTTTTGGCTTACCCATTCCATACAATAGTCTTTGCTTTAGCAATCACTTCCTTGAAAGCTTGAACACTTTTTGGGCCACAATCCAGTCCCTGTAATAACAATGTTTATTGATAATATATTTAAAACTTGTCTGATATCCTGGCCACAGGTTCATATTTTACATACCATCCATCCTTTTGGGATTCCAGATTCAACTGTCGCTGCGCCAACCTAGAAAACAAGGGACAGGTCATGAGCCTACGTCTTTCCCAAAATAAGTTTTATGTTGCAATAAAAACCAATTTTCTTTAACTAGTTGTCGCTTCAAGGCTTTACAATCTTTCTGTCTTACCTCGGCATCTTCGGCAAACTTATTGGCAGTAACAAAATCAACAGGGAAAACCAAATTCACTTTCTTTTCTTTTGCTTTATCAGCAAGTTTCTGGACAATCTCTGCACCTTTTTCATCATAGAGAGAGTCGCCAATCTGCTCAACAGACAGATAAAAAGAATACAAATTTGATGTTGTGATTCAATCAGTAAATTCACCTGTACTTTCTTTAAGATGGATTGGTCACTGATGATCACTGGAGCATGAATTTGATCCTTGGGCTCAATCATAACATAATGTACACCTAATTCAAAAAACATTGTCATCACCAAAGGCGATAGGTCATTCCGACATGGAAATGGTTTCATTGAATACAAAGAACATCGAATCAGTCTCAGCACGAAGGTCCATACTCTTGACGAGAAGAAGAAGAAGAAACACAAGTCATTCCAGCTATTCTTGGATCTTGGAATAACATGTATCCTATTTATCCATTTATCCTAGCTTTTCGCCTATTGCCTATCGCCTTAATTTGTGATGACAACGTTTTTTGAATTAGGTGCATGTGAGAAGATTTGCTTGTTCAGTTCTCCTGTCCTTCGAGGAGTTTTTCTCTTTTTTTTTTTCTCTGTAAATATCAACTTTTAAATTGCAATTCAATCATGGAATGAAGGCGACAGGTTTCATTAGCCACTGGCTATTTGTATAAAATCACTACCCTAGTATGAAAAGGACATTTTTTAGCCTTACTTACCTCCATTCCATTCAGTACTTTAGTAAAAGTATAAGCCATTCCTCCTCCAATGATCATTTCATCAACCTTGTCCAACAGGTTCTCAATGAGTTGGATCTTGTCTGCAACCTTGGCACTTTATTAAGCAAAGATGTAAAAACTTAGCATGCCAACTGTAGTAGAGTTTTTTGAAATGTTAGTCTTTAAAATAGCATCAATTACATAGGGACCTGTTATCCCATTTCATTCCCTAGAGTGAGATTCTTCTTTTGAGTTGTATTGATATTCATGTGTCTTCTCATGTACAACCATTAAAGCAAAGAAATAATATTTTAGGGAAATACGTGTGGTCTGAATGGGAAAATGTCATGGCTAAGGTAAAGTCTGAGGTCTAATCATCAACCTACCCTCCCAAGATCGCCAAGAAGGGCCTGACAGGGGACTCCAGTGCCTTGGCGAAGTAGTCCAGCTCCTTCTTGAGCAAGAAACCAGCTGCTTTTTGAGGATGATCAACTCCAACCATGGAACTAAAACAAGTCAGTCAAACATCATTAGCTTCAATAATATAGCCAGCATCAGGCCTAAAGACTCGGGGAGATGGGGGGAGGGGGGGGGAGTGTGGTTTAGATGCAAACCCAAGCTCACCCCACCCCTATTGAATAAGGTCAACATCATCTAGGAAGAGAATTGAGAGCAAGTTATAGGTGCATTCCATCCCCTACACCATTGGTTACATTTTTGTTATAAGAGACGTTGTTACCTGTGTGCTCTGTGAGCTGTTCCAAATGCATCATTAATGTACACATCTCCAAGTTTGGCCAGCGAGGACCTGAATACCTTGACTGCCTCTTCACTTGCTTTAACCTAGATATAAAAACAAGACAATAAATGTTAGTTGTCACACTTAAAAATCCTGTWTTTTTTTTTTTWAATTATTCCAAGAGACATCTTGTTACCTTTTTCCCATCGGCGTCCACACCTTTTCCTTCTTCTTCGATGTGAAAGCGAAGGTTTTCAAGCAGAATAATAGATCCTGAATAAAATTAGAGGGCCTGAGTCAGTCATTGTTTTAAAATGTTTTTCTTATAAAATTTGGAATCCAAATTTACCTGCTTCAGGAGCAGCACATGCAGCCTCAACTTCAGGACCCACACAACTTGGAAGAAACTTGACATCTCTGGGAAATAGAAATAAATTGATGGTAATCTCATCAAACACCACTACTCRAGAATTAGAGGCAAATGCTATTGAAGGATTCTCATCCATCATCTTATCTATCTTGTTATTCTTGGGGTGCAACCACATGACTATATCCCTTGAGATATAAATAACAATGAAACAGCCACCATGTTGGTTCAAGCAAAGCTATAACATGGTGGCTATGTCTTAACATGCACCCTGAGAATTGGAATTTCAAAATGTTTGGGGCAGGTAAGGGTGAATCCCTCATACACACCCTCTCTATAGCCATATTGTAGTATCGTATTTAATATTGGTTTGTACCTTCCAAGTAACTTCTTCAATTCATCAGCCACAGGTGCTAGGGAATATTTGTCTACAACTTGACCATCAGGTCGACCCAAGTGACTCATCAATACCACTGATGTGGCTCCTTTTTCCAGGCAGTGCTTGATTGATGGCAGTGCTGCGAYGATCCTAGAAATTAAGGTAGATATTTCAGCTGCAATACACATGGCTAGCCTCCCTCGCAACAGGCAATATATACACTGCTAATATTATTATAATAATGTGCTGCAGCTCTTACTGCTGGGGTCATGAGTTCAATTCCCAAAGCCAACAGCATAAGAGTTGCTTGTTGGTTCTCTCCTGTGCTTCAAGAATTTTTCTAAGGTTGATCAGTTTTTTGCCCAGCAGTGTGCAAAAATAAACTTCAAGATTCCAATTTCATCATGAAACGAGAGCCACAGGTTTATTTGCCAAAGGTTTGTTGTGGTATGCTACCCACGTAAAACAAAGACAATTTATTATATATATATATATATATATATCTATTGCTCTGCATCCCTACGCATCGAGCACTGTTTCAACAGTATAGACCACATTACATACTTTGTTATATATATATATATATATTGGTCTTGAATTGTCACCTGCCATGTTTGACAATTATGATATGCATGATATAGTTGCAAGACATAAAGGTTAAATGCATCCTCAATTTTCACTCATCTAGTTAAAACGAGGTGGATGAACCAATCTTGGAAGGATTATCCAAGAGCTAAAGAATTTCTTCGTCTGATACTAGTATTGACCATGTGCATGACAGCTTGCTGCAGCAATTAAATATTTTATGGAAAAAAAGAAAAAATCGTTCCATACCTTTGGTTGTTTGTAATCTCTTTGCCCTTCAAAGGAACATTGAAGTCAACCCTGCAATCGAGAACAAGAACACTCTTCTGTTCAATCAAACAAGCAGATTCTGGATAGATCTGTGAACTACAACGAGCTACAGATACAAGTAAGTTATTTTTGTACATTTTCTCGTACAAAAAGGTCCAAAGATTTTAACTTTCTAGTAAATTGAAATATCCCAGCAAAGTCTACCTCATAAGAACTCGTTTATCCTTCAGTTCCAAGGAGCTGATACCTAGCTTATTGAGAGACATGATGTTGGATCGCTGGGTGCAGAAATCAAGCCGTAAAACAAATAATTCCAAGGACGTGTTCAACCTCACACTTCAGCTGGAAGAACAATGCTTCGAGGAGGGAAGACTAGGTGAGCTAAATATCTTATACGAGGGAGGGGTGGGTGCGTTTGACGCACTAACTTTTTGAGCTGAAATCTTATTTTTAAGCTAACAAAAGCTATTGAATAGCCAAAAACAGCATACATTTTAAAGATTTTATTCACTTTCTTTTATTCTCTGCCGAACTATTTAAAAGATTTACAGGATATTTCAGCGAGACTATCTCCATCCCCTCCCCCGTAAGTAATTGCTTTAGTTCCTTCCCAGTCTCATTCATGCAGTAGATTTTCCAAGATGGCGTCCTTCACGCGGCTTCAAACTTTTTCGCGATTTCGTCAACTTTTTACCCTACGTGGAAGCCGTCAAATACATGTACCATGGAGGAGAGAATTCTCAAGTGTTGTTTCTTCGACTTCTTTTTATAATAATACCAGTAAGTTGGAATTTGTGGAATAAATTTTGACATTTTGGGCAACGTTCTTTTCCACGTGGGTTTGTCAACGTTATCATTTTATTTAGTATATTTTTTCTCGTTTTATTTTTGCATAAATGGAGGATATGCTGTAATGTTTTAATTGTATTCTCAAAAATGCAGATTTATTTTCTTCAATATGCAATGTAAGCTGCAAAAAAAATTTTTTTTGTTTAAGTATTACTTGCAAGACATATGGGAAAAAAGCTTGCATGTTTGTGCAATGGAAAATTCTTTCTCATGTAAAACGATTGTTTTGTTCCTGACAACTAACATGGCTGCCATCACACCATGGTGCAAAAATATTGACGTCCATCAAAATCTACTTCACAGTGACATCAAATTGTATGATTTTGCAAGTTTAATTGGGAAGTGCTGTAACCATTCAGTAGATTAAATTATATACTTACTAATGTGCTTTTGACTACTCCCAGAAGAAAGCAGCCCCAACTAGGAGTCAGAAATTAAACTTTATGTTTCATAACATTCTTTATAACAGAAGTTTGTTCTGTTTCTTATGAATTAGGGTCACAAGATATAAATAAAAGAAAGTTATTTGATAAGCAACATTGTCAATCAGTTCACATCAGAACATTAACTGATGAGCCTGATAAAACAATCGAGGTAAGTATATATAAGGTAGTGTTCATTTATATTTTGTCTGAGCTGATTTGTTGACGTTAGGTACAGTATATAGGGTCAGTGCAGTGAATGCAGCAAAATGGAAGCTAGTTAAAAGGAATAATATATATATATGATTTCTCTGCTGTTGTATTTACCTCTCCTTCATGTATTAGTGATGGGAGAGTGGGACAACAGTGGGACAATAATCCTTTGCAGCTAAAACTAGCAAATTTGCAACAGCTGCATGAGCAAGCAAAAGCACTGGCATGGCAAACCGTGGAACTAAAATGCAGCATGTACATCTGGCGCATGTGTAACGATTACCTTAGCGACACCACTGACAAAATATTCATTTTAGAACTCAAGTGAGGAAAACTCTTACGAGGCATCAGACATGGCCCATGTTATTACAAATACCGAACAAGTAACAGGTAATGATCATCAATTTAGAGTCATAGGTGATAATGTTAATAGAATATAATTGAATGTAATCTTACATACATATTGGTTAAAGTTCTATTATTGTGTAGTTTTAGTCCTAAATGATAATCATGCCTTCACCAATGGAGGGAGATTGTTATTTCCAAGGAATGAGGAGGGTCAGAGAAGGTTGTTATGTTCGTGTAATGGACCTCCTTGCAGCACGTCAGAATGCAACTCAATTTGGACGACATAATAATAGGTTTCCAATTCTCAGGAGATCGAAATTCTTGTTTTGTCCCCGAAATTGAGCTGCTTTGATGTCACATACAAGGGGTCTGTTCCAGAAAATATCCATACCTCCCTCCTTCCAGATTGGAATTCCAAGGGGTGGAGCAGGTCTGAGAAGGGTATGTTGTGTAATTTCAAGAAATACTTTCCATCAAAACATAATTTCTACCAGTAAAATATTGAAGAGTTCAAGAACTGGCCAAGGATTGCCAATACCATTGTTATTGAAAGATTAAGTTGAAACTCTTCCTCTTTTTTACTGGTTGCAGGAGAATCAAAGAAACATGAATTTCAAGCAGAAACCAAACAACTTTTAGACATTGTGGCCAAGTCACTTTACTCTGAGAAAGAGGTACCAGAATACATGAATTTTATTCACTTTTCCGAACACGTTTCCAGACCAGGTGCCAATTTTTTTTTTTAACTTTGCATGTGTGCACCATGTTTTGATAAAAAATCTATCAGTTTTCTCTGTAATCACAGAGTGAGACAATCATGAATGGAACCCTCAGATTCATATGAGGTGAAAGCCCAAGATTGAATTGGAATTTAGAAGTTGGTTTTTGTCACCCTATGGTTGATTGAGAACTGTCTCATTTGAGGGACAGGAACATAGTTGTCCTGACACTATCTGCAATTTCAATGCAATGCTTTGCAAAGAAGTTTAAGAAAATAACAATGAAAACAACAAGAAATGTTTTTCTTTCTAGTGTATGAGAAAATGATTAAAGCAACTTTTTCCATGTTCCATGCTTCTGTATTACTAAACAATGCACCAGTGAGATGGAATATTTAATTTCGATTATTTTTTATTCAGGTTTTTATTCGAGAAGTTATTTCCAACTCATCCGACGCATTAGAAAAACTACGACACCACTTCATCACAGGAAAAGATGTCGTAGACTTGGACTTAAATTTGGAAATTAAATTAGAGACCAGCGAAGAGGCTGGGACATTTACGATACAAGATAATGGTGTCGGCATGACTGAAGAGGAGCTCTTACAAAATCTAGGGATTATTGCAAAGTCAGGCTCCAAGGCCTTCCTGGAGCAGCTCAAGCATGATTCTGTGTCAGCGCAAGACAATATTATTGGTCAATTTGGTGTTGGGTTTTATTCAACGTTCATGGTCGCAGATAAAGTAGATGTCTATACTAAATCTTATCAGCCCAACAGCCAGGGATACTTCTGGACATCAGATGGGTAAGTTGAATGTAGTGACCAAAGATATGTTATGATTTTATAGCTTTGTCGATGGCTACATAAAATTTGCTTATTATTCCTATTTACCTTGGGTGTAATGTTTAATAATAATTAATAATAATAATATTACTACTACTACTACTAGCACTACCACTACCACTAATAATAACAGAAATAATAATAATGATAATAATAATAATGGGATTAACAGTGGATTCCACAGAGTGGCAGCACAGAAGGGCACCAACAAACAACTCTATTCACATACAACACTGAACATGGCAGGAGTCAAACCCAGGTCGCATTGGTAAGAGGCAAGTGCTCTCACCACTATGCCACCTGTTCTTAACCATGTTTTTCCTGTGTCATTCCCAAGAGTATCATTTCTTTGTTTAAAATGGTTGTGCACGAGAAGACACTTAAATACAGATACAACATAAACAAAAAATCTTATCCTCAAGAGAATGACACAAGGTAGACCTGAAATGGGAAAACATTATGCCAAAGCTAAAGAGGTACAAATTCTTTATGAAGCTCAGGGACATATGAGTATGCCGAAGCAGAGGGAGTCTCCAGAGGAACAAAACTCATCATCCACTTGAAGGAGGATTCTAAAAGATATGCCTTGAAAACTGCTGTAGAAGGTAGGAAAACTATTTGACAATCATTCGCCAAAGGCGAAGCGAATATCGGGGAATAATTACCGAGATGCGAGGCAAATAATTGTTTTAGTATAAATACACAGGTGATTCTTTAAAGTGCTACTATGACGAAAATCGCTCAAACTTGGATTCAGCTGAAACTTCCTAAGAATACTCTTTAAAGGTCCAATAATCACTGTATGAAGTGTTTTCTC